TTTAAAGGTCGAGGCAGTAAAATCCATCCCTAATGCAGACTGAAAGATATGCCTTATAAGAGCGCAAGGTAATGAGGGCCCTGCACTCTTTTTTAGTTAACTTAATAATAATTTAGTAATGTGGGCGAATGCATTACACACTGACTGGAGCACCTTCAGCTATCCTCTTAGAATAGCCGAAATGCGCGGCGTACCGTCTTTTCTGACCTCCGTCCCTCTTCCGACCTATATGCTATAAGGGCCCAGAAACTTACACGCATTACATGGAGCTCTGCAGACTCACCTCCGGGTGCGGAACCACAGAGTTCTAATATCATTACGAAGCTTCCCGGCTACACTGGCAGCAATAGCATGTGTTTTACGTTATTGAACACGGTCCATATCATTGCGCGGATAAGAATGCGTCCAATAGTAGCAGGACGATAAGAACAGAGGTGGAAAACACTTAGGGAAGTCCAATGACACGGAAAAGTAGCGACTGAAGCTGCCACCTGCCAAAATAATAAAGAGACAATGTAAAATTATGATGAGCTGTCGCGTAGTGCCTTTTTCACTCCCTGACGTTCCTGGATAGGCAGTTATGAATACTTGACACGCGCGACGCTGGTGATCTTCTTAAGTTAGAGAAACAAGCTGAGTTTACGATCGGCCCATTCGGAGCCTGTGCCCTTTGGGAGTATATGCAATATTTAAAAATGCCTGAGACGAGTTTTATTTATTGTATTGCGATTTTTTGTTGACGTTGTTAGTATCTGCGGTTATCGTCTGGTAGTGGTGTTTTAGTTGTTGTCGTCATATTTTTTTTCAGATTGCACTTCTTTGGGATCGTATTTAAACTGTACGACAAAGTATCAAGCCCTGGCTGTCAGTTGAGTTTAATTGCCCTAACGAAGTAGCTTAATGATAATTTTGAGTTATCGAAAAAAAAAGCGTGTTTATCGCTCGACTGGTTAAACCCATCCATTAACCAATAGATGTTATCCTTTATTAATCCAACCTCACGTAGACGAGACAAATGTCGACGCGGAAGTAAATGACGGCTTCTTGTATCTCGTTGCGCAAACTCACGGAGTGTTTACGCTGACACAGAAAATACCGCTCAGCTTCGTCCAAACATCATTTGAGTGCATCTTTTTTTTTTTTCATTTTTCCTCTTTAACATAAACGATACAATGTATTATTTCGTTCGCAAAGTATCTCAGGCTCGTTCCTAGCTTGGCTGTCATCTATTCCACGTAACAGTATCTCACAATTGTAGCAATCCAAATCGTTAGCGGTATTCTTGTTCTGTAAGGCTCTACCTCATTTGTCGGAAGGGGTCTGAACGCGAAATGAGCAATCATAAAGATCCTATGTACGTCAATTTACTGGCTCATATTGAGACAGTCATTATCATTTTGGCAACATGTTCATATATCCTGTTTGAAATGATCACAGAAACATTATCTTCAGTGGCCACAATGTCAGTGACGCATGCGACGACCCGTTAGAGAACTGCTACGATAGATCTCCCTTGCTGTCAGCTCCGTACGTCAATCAATCAGAATCACCTAAACACAGGGGCAGGCTCAACGGGATATCATCACCGTTGAAAAACTAGCACCGAAATCGAGTGCGATCATCTTGATCGCGTTCTATATCAGTATTGTGCGGTGGAACTACCGCTCTCGCAATTAAGCTGACGTAAACGAATCAAGCTAATCAATACGAAGTTGCTAGAAAACGACTGGTTTTCAGATAGCTAGACTATAGTTTTACTTAATCAGTTAATTAATTAATCAGTCAGGTTGGTATCGTGGCGATCGTGCGAGACTTTACATAGAGCCAAAGAATACATGTCTCAATCTCAGAAAATCGACCTTTTCACAAAGCTCAGATCATTTAATGGAATGACGCGTATCGGAATATCGTGCAGGCCGCTGCTGTGAACTGCTGAAATGGCATAAATAGATTGGAGCTCTCTAAGTTGTATTATTCCTTACTGACTCAATCTGTAATCGAAGAGTACGGATCGTAGCGAAAAACGTTCAGCTTAATAGCGATCCGTTTTATCAGTTGATATACAGGATGAACACATACAAACATATGCCAGCAGTGTCTCTGCTTCGCAACGTAGTCTATAGACGTGGCATCAATATCGTAATGAACATAATTTTCAGTTTCCGATTCTCCCATACCTTCGTGAATGGTTTGAACTCTATATATAGTACTGATTGCGCATCATATCGAGAGATTTTTCAAATCATTTGAGGGTATAAAGAACGCAAACGTTGTTTCACGCTGTTCTTTCGGACCTCCATGCTTTGAATTTTACGTCCGCTATTAGTGTCAGAGGTTCAATCACACAGACGGCTAGTTGTCTCCCAGCACAAAACGAAGTCTGCGTGTCTCTGCCTAGGTTAGAGCCTAGACTACAACGTGTCCCTAACGCTGGAGGACAATTACGTTACCCACTAAGCTATCACGAAGATGGGTCTAGCCCTTCTTTACATAGCTCCTTCTTCCAGCGCATTAATAGTTATGAAACCCCACAAATGACGTACAACCCTCGAATTGGGACTCCGAACTGAGTTGAAGAGACAACTGAATGAAAAAGGTAACCATTAAGGTCTGCTGTTACTGATCATCATTTGCTATCTTCGGGTTGATCGTGCGTTAGGCGCGATAACGACTATACAACCGGCAGCTGTTTGTTCCTGTAGTCGCTTACTTAACAGAAGAGGAAACGACAGTAGTAGAACATGAACTTCAACTTCTGCATGGTAACCATGGCTAATAGTACAATATTGAATTGTTCCAATGAAGAACATCGTATGTCATGTACGCTGTTATGGCGTGTTCAACGCCATTTTCTGTTACCAGACCTTAATAGAAAGGGTCAAGCGCGGCTTATTGGAAAACGTCCCTGTGTCAACAAAAATATTGCTTCCGGAAAAAGCATTCCGTCGAAATCGGGAGTTGGTTAAGCACCTGATAACTTTTTAGTTGTCGAACGTGTTAGAAGACATACAGAAACTGGCATATATATGTAAATTAGTTAAAGAGCAACTAATTCATTTCATTATATTGGTTCATTGCTTTCACAATATCGCACCTCCTTTGGCTATAGATGATTATGGACGCTGCCGCAGGAGATGAATAATAGGATAATTAATCATCGGCTTCATATGAAATCACTTAGCTTCATCATTACAGAACGACAGTCTTATGTATCTAGAATTCAGTTCTCAGAAATAAATATATATATCAAAATTCACCGTGTTCCACAAAAGGTTCACACTCCTGTTTATTTTAACGTAGGTGTTGTTGCTATCATCTGGAAAACTACTATTAATTCTGTTACCACGCCCGACAATTTCAATGTATAGTCTTCTGTAAAAAAACAGAAATGAGAAGGACATTATAAACCTACTAAAGACTAGCTATTTATCTAGATAAAACGTTGACACTATGATAAAATATTTAAGCATGTTCAAACATCTTGTATTTGAATCGATCAGCTTAGGCCAAAGCTCTGTTATTGTCCAACTGTGAGATTAGCAGTAACTACATAAATGCATATGGTATTGGAAGACATTATTATAGACGTTCAAATATTAAATCGTTGTGCCAATCAAGAATCAGCTAAAAAGATTTCGTGCATTATATCGTCCAATATTGAAGCCATCAAACGGCTGACTTGTACTAGCAAATTAAATGTATCTATATTAGACCATCACGTGTCCGTAAGCTTAGCATGCAAACACACCATTACTCACTACGCTATCACAGTGACAATGCAAAGCCACCTAAAGCCAATGCAACAGCAGTGACAAAAACAGCAGTAATAATCATTCCATAGCAACATTAACGTTCCTAAAATTTCATGGTTTTTTGAAAAAGCGCGCGCAAAAAATATAGAACTAGTGGCGTCCTCTTCAAAATGCGAATCACAACAATGACGTAAATAAATTTTCTCAAAAGTTTACACCTCCAATGACCAGCCGCCGTCACCAACAGTCATTAGGCGAAAGCTTTAACGCAGTCGTTGTGTATCGTTGTGCTATGAGCAGGTGGAATATATTTTATGCGTGGATGATCGCTGAAAAATACCTATAAAAAAAGTTATTCTTTCATTAGTTCTGGGCCTATCGGGTACTTGGGATCAGCAATTAAGAAAGATTCGCAAGCAAAAGACTAGCAGGAGTTAGCAACGGTGTGGTGATTGCCTTATCGTCCTTACGATGAAATCTGCAGAGTTCTGCGGCCGCGGAGGTTCGATTCACCCGAATGAACACGATGGCTGGAAGCCGGCTGACTACTCCTACAACGGTGCGATATAGACATGCGAATATTCGGTGGATGGCAATGAATCACTACAAGAGATTTGTGCGGGCAAATGGACAAGTAGATAGAAAGACGGAAAATTCAGTAAGCTACCGTAAATTAAATATCTGTCCGGAAAATCTGACGTCGATTAAACCGGACACACGATATGGATTCGCTGTTTACTTTTATTTTTAGTAGGTCGTTGTTTATAAATAGAATTGTGTGCACAAGCCCTGTTGTTGATATTGACCTCAACTGGCTTTGTATATGCAGTTAGTTATCTAACATTCAGGGCTGTTGAGATACACACGGGTCAGAAATTAATTGCAATTTCGTAATCTTTTATTTGATAAACTTTCAAAAGGCAGGACTTTGTGGGATGGCTAAGTGTTCTTTTTTCGCATTTCACCTAATATTTGTTAAACGATAGAAAAGCAGAATAATCATTTTGTTTGCTACCAAAATTTTATCTTCCCCAAGAGTGAAAGAACTATATTATTTTAGGGCAAACTGCCTTCCATAAAAGTCATTGCACCGAGAAATGTTATATGATCATCTTGAGTGCTATATGGGCCACGGTATATGAACCGAGATGCTGTCGATGCGAGTTTTACAAAAGTATTAGCTAAAAGCAAACGGCCTCAGAGTATAGCCTGCTTATGCGTTTCGTAAAAATGCGTCTGCGTATATATATCAAATAGAACTAAGTTTTCGTATTTACTTCGTTTATACGCAAGGTTTTGACGGCTTTATTGGCATAACGTATCGCTTAAACAAAACAACATTGTCAATATATACACCCAATTACGGATAATCATTATTATAAATTACTACTAGATATAATTATACAAAAATCATGCATATCACGACAGTTGTACAGACTTCGATATCGTGAAGTTGGCTTTGAAAACTATGCACACATTGTTATCGTTTCTAAACTCACTTCTGGAACAAATGCAGCTTGTAGATTTGCCAATACCTAAATCAATCGTAAATTTTCTTTGTATTGCGCAGCAGGATTCCATGTGGATCTACAATAGACGAGCTATTGTCTTTGACCTGTCTAACCTGGCTATATTTGATTCTAAAGCATCCACTTCTCCAGCCATAATTACAGGCCTTTCTAGAAAGAAAAGCATTTTCTTATAGTTCCATTGAACTTCGATTTTTTTTTTTCACAAAGTTATTAGTGGCCTACATACTATACAGCCCCACGTTTTCTTTTTTTCTTCTTAGTACTACCAGTCTTTTACCGCATACGAGCAGGTCACCGTAGTCACCTAACTTTAAATATATCATCGAGGACTTGACTCGTCACCATTACGAATCTACCCGGACTGGGTCTGACTGAACTTCTATGGGGTCTCCCCAAAAAATAATGAGATGGCGCGGCCATCATGCAAGCAATTACTAAGCTTAATAGTATTACCTTATCTTCCTAACTCCTCATTTTAGCTTCATCGTTCATTTTCCTTGTCATTGATATACGGTAATTACTTTTACCAAAGCTAAGATTTGAGCTAGCGTGGTCGCATGCTTATTAATTACGTTTATTACGGCGACACGCTCAAAAAGGTGCGTATTAGCCAACTGGATTACCTGGATAGCCAACTGAATGATATGGGCCACCGACACGGATATTTTCAACTTATTGATGCTTTAGACGTACAGTAAATAAACATGTAAATCAAGAGATAATATACCATAGACTTCATTTTGAAAGCGAGAGTGAATTTTCAGTTGATGCGGATGATGCTTCAATTGTAAGCCTGGCTTTCCACAACAGTCAACGCCGAATCATCTTTCAATCGTGTTTTTTTCTAAACCTACGCTTGCTTCACTCTGTATATATATATATATATATATATATATACATTTTTGCATTGAGTTATTTCTGACAGCCAGGTCTGTGCAATATAACCATCATTCATCTCGATTACATCTTCAATTTGAAACCTTTTTCAGTCAATTAATAAGTAACCTTGTGATAATATTCGTCATATATATGTGGCTATAAATTATAGAGATAATAATGTATATGGCTATAAATTCGTTAAAGTATCAGTTAAACACGCTGTATACGAGAGGTTATAACGGGATTAAATTTTAGGCTGGTAGTAGGCCAACAATCCAAATGCAAAATGGCGCGAGAAGTCTTAAGAAGACTAGTTTTTGAAACGTGTATTGACGATTCAATTGGCAATTGAAATTCTCCTCTCTAAAGCGGCCGTTAATTTCTGTGTCAAAAATACAGGTACATCAGACTTGCCCTTTTAAGCTTTTTTGATAAGTTTTTAAACTGTTTAAATACGTACCCTATCGGTTACCTTGCAGTTTATTTCATGAAAACCTTCTTCGTATTTTTTAGAAGCCGCATAAAAAGTGGCAACAGCATATACCGTCACTTTGGAACAAAAAGTACATTTTTGCTTTGTTGATGCTTCCCTAGCGCGAAGAAAATTGATAATAGCTAATTTTCGCAAAAACGACTCACCGCTTTTTACTATGACGAGTTTGCTGCTTGATTCTAGAAAAAAAAAACTGGCTTTCTTCCAGTATTAAGGTTGGCAGACGAACGCAAACCCGCCAAAATTTATTTAAATTTGAATGGCTTATACATTCTTTGCTGACTCATTTTAGTTGGCGTATCATTTCGCAGCCACATGCAGATGAGTAATTCTATACTCACGGCATGACCATAGCAAATTGCAGCCGATTCAACACACGGACAGATATCCCTCCATCAGCACAGTTTATACATTACTGTTTCCTTTCGATTTCACACACTAAAGAGGTATGGCATCAGAGATTTCGTTGTGAAAACAGCTAGCCGACACACAATACAGGGCTATATCAGATGCAGTTGCTGAAAACGATGGTTAATTGACCTGACGCACGTGACGAGATTCACCGTGTTGTAGCTACTGCTTCTGCGAAAGCAACAATACGGGATCTTTACCGTAACGCCGTGTGCATGGAGCGGGAGAGGGGGGGGGGGTCTACACTGAGGGTCTACTCATATTATCCTTAGCACAATAATTATAATTACTAGCAGAAGTAACGCTATTCGCTGCATTTGAGCACGTGCCTAACAGATTCTCTCGTCTGCAACGGCGGGTAGAGATTTATTGCTAGCATTGTTATTGCAGCAAATGCTGTCGTTTACTTCGTCGCGACAGGACAGCTCGGTTGCTTTTAGTGCGCCTGACACCGTCAGCCCAAATCTCCGTATGATTAACGAGCCAATTAGCGAGCACAGACGATTTAAGCATCTTAGGCGAAGCGCAACTGGCGCTGCAGCTGCAGCCGTTTTAGCGGTGGTGGAAAGTTGATCAGTCCGCGAACAAATGAAAAAGGAACCGCTCGTTTATATCCAGGTCTGATAAGCATACTGCGTAGTTTTTATGACTAAGGGGATGGGGCTTCTCGGAGCAGCATGTCACAGCATATGTAACCCCAAGTTCACGACAAAGTCCACCAGGCCACATTGACAAAGGCGACAAGACGCTACAAAGGGGTCGTGTTGAGCTAGGATAGGACGAACCGCGAAACGCTACAGAACTCTGTTCTGGTATGGCCAGATTGGCATTTTCAGTGTCCCCTACAAGGTCAGGAAACACATTCAACCGTTAGACGAAAGCTGTGCCGTCATCGCAATTGTCAACAGACGAAAATCCGCTGGCTTTTCTGTGTTCTTTCTCCATCCGTCAGTCACCTACCTGATAAGGCTCCATCTGTCAAAGAACGGATGTCAAATTAGTATTTGATAGCAGTGCGTGAATATCATAACGGCAGGCTTTGACAGCGTCAGATGCCACCACCAATAGGTAACGAACTGCTTCTCTAATATAGTCAAAAAGGGGCTAAAACAGCTGAAAAATAGTATGGCTCCGAGTGGTGGCATACATAATTGAGCTCATTGTTATATTTATCTTTTAAGAAGACAGTTTTCTAAATGAACTGTACTTTGGGCTTTGACACGTGCATACAAAATTATACAATGGGTATAGTACATTGTAGGACTAAATTTTTTCATATTTGAATCCTAAGTTCCTTTCCAATGAAAATATGGCATTATAAAGTCTAACCTGAAGGCTTCTCTGAGTGTGTGTGTGTGTGTGTGTGTGTAGCCTAGCGTACCAACTATGCGGATGCTGCAAGCGATCTATCGCGCACGGGAACAAAATTTAATAATTTTACTTCTGTTCATTTTAAAAAGGCTATTACTATCCAAACTCGATAACCCTACAGGGATATGAAAACAAACAAATCCATTTAAGTGTGTGCACAAGTCAGTTCGTTAATTCTGATGGGTTTAGCCCAACCAGACTTTTGCAAGGCACTATTAGAGACTTGATTGCGCTAACATTGATATGTTTGTAAGAAGTATATGTAAAGGACTATAACTATATTAATTTTAACGTTATAATTATGTGGTCATAATTGTGTTTTACAGGTATTATATACAACTTACCTAACGAGAGGTCTTAATAGAAACATATACATCAGTGTGGCACTGTGATTTCAGCTTAGGTTGACCTTTGGGTGGGAAAGCGGTCAGTTTCCGTCATCATATCGATAGGGGGTGAACGAATTAAGTTGCAACACTGGAACATAAGTGACAACAGTGTTCTCCCGAGAAAATTTACCCACAGTCATTTAGAACGCTGTTACATATAAGTATCATTTAACACTGCTACTAATGGCAGCAAAGCGACGCAAAACAGTAACTTCGTTCCTATATTTTTTGTACGGGTCGTCTCACCGATTTCGTGTCCAGCGAAATTTCACTGGCTTCACCCGTTTATTATTCAATTGTGAGTGAGGACTCATCCCATTGCCAGCACAAGGTAACAAACCGCTAGCGGTAAAATAACGGTGTCTACAAAACGACCCTCATCACGGTGTTACAACTGGGAATTTGGTTACACCTCATACAACTGACAGCATTTAGTTGGCGAGTTGGAAAATACACAGCGAGCTGGACAAGGCCTGGTGGCATCGGACAGTAGTTCTTTACTGTAAGTCCTACTTTTCTTCCATTTGTCTCTGCATAGACCCTTCTTCACTTTAGCCCCAAGAGCCAGCCCCACGATTGGCGGGTTTTTTTATACTCTTTCGACGGCGCTGTTATCGCCGAAAACCTGTTGCAGAATTAACGTGAACACCAATCGTAATAGCAACCAGACTATGTAGGATATAATGCCGTATTTTATTACCTGTTCATAAGCATTGAAATCGGTGCGTAAGATTAGTATGAACATATCTACGCACCAGCGGTCTGCAGTGTACTGGCGCACAGCGGCTGAGTAAACTTGGTATGGGACAAATTCGTATGTGTGTGCAGTTACAGAATCTACATACTGATAATTAATTGTAGTAAAAAAAATAATAGCCTTATACGGATCATGTTGAAGCTGTAGGATCACTTGCGAGATAGTTCGCATACCTCTTCTTACGGACTCTGACGTTCGACAGAATATCACCTTGTCAGGCATCTTTGAAAAATCACCATATGGGAATAGTTAGGACATGGGCTAGTTGACAAGAATTGTTCCAACGGGCTATAACATGAAATTCCCTTTTCAATTGTATGTCTATTTAAAGTTAAAGAGAAGATAATTCTTTCTTATCTTTTAAATCTGGTTTGTTTTGGTTAAATCATTTACCAGCAACACCAATCGCTCTACTCAGGAATACTTAACGCTCCAGCATAAGTTCTGCTTTTGCACCTTCTCAACGTGCACTAATTACTGCGCTATTTAGCTGAAAAAATATTTCAGCTTTTACGTCTATCAAGCATTGTTTCATTATTGGTTAAACATTGTTTCAGAACACCGCCGGCTTTTTGCTTCCCAAAGGGAACCATTTGTTTGAACCAGGAATTCCACCCTACACGTCCCTAGGTTTAGCTGTCGTGTTAGCAAATGCGTAACCATTGCAATATCATTCGAAAACCGAGTTAAGGCTTCCCATTCGCTTATCTTTGGGCGTCAAAGGTGCTTCGACAAAGGGCCCCAGTCCAGCACTAGGCACTGCTACTGAGGTGCCCGCTCAGAATGTACTCACTTACTTGCATCATGCTGACATGTCGTCTGACCTTAGCGGTCCTTCTGCGTTTCCGATAGAGCCATAGTCCGTAGAGTGTGGCAAGTATCGCCACGGCGCATATTCCGCTAAGAATGAGTCCCACCCAGGGGCCCATGCAAGAAACCGTGTCTCGTAGCCACGAGCCCACGTCGCCCGCAGGCGCCGGCGATATCCAGTGAGGTTCTTGAAAGAGTAAGGAAGATGTTGAAGCAGCTATAATCGGTACATCGACCCGTTTAGTGTTGAAGTAGGGCAGCAGCGCTAAAAACAAAAAGCAAAGCATGTCACATACGATTGCATGCGACAAAAATAGGGGCAAGCCAAAATGATTGCTGGTTCAAATCCCGCTATTGACGTTTTATGTTATACAATATAATCATTCAAATCTTAACGTTTCCCGGTGGTCACCAAATGCTTTATATATACAAATCAATAGAACAATAGCATGTAACCTTGTTATTTAATAAACAACGACCAATTTCATTGAAATTGCATCTCATTTTTGTGGATATTAAATGAATACGCATTTATCAAGGCAGAACTTAGGCGAAAATGAACAGCCTTAACCTAACCTTTTGCACCTTAGTGATGGCTCAGCGATTTCTTATTGCATGAATTAAACTATGTAGAACTACGTGAACCTACATCAGATAGGTAACCAGTCTCGAACTGAGTTACTTTTGAAGAGTAACAATTGCTGTTTCGTATACGTGTCTTCTGTTTGAAACCGATTATCAAATAATTCTACCTAATACACCTATCCAAAATTATTGCATGGTAGAAAAAAGTGTCGACAGTTTTTTAAGCCAAAATTGCAACAAATATTTTTCACATTTCAAAACAATATTTCTAGCCTAAGTAAGCACCGTTTTTCTCGACAAAACCATAATCTCGTCACTGCATAATTTCTATGTTTTTTGGGCAAAAAATTATAACGAATGCATCTTGCAAGCCTCTTATTAAAAAAAAAATAACGCATCAAAATTTCCATTTAGGTTTGTTACTTAGTTAAAGATATACGTGCTATGGCATTTTTATGATGGAAGACGACGCCTTTTCTGTTCTTTAGTTCTGGTCGATTTTTTCAATGGCTTGTTTGGCAAAAATTGGAATCAATCGGCAGCCCAATATGGCCCATATTACTCGAGATACGTGACTTTAATGCCATGTAGCTAGAAAACCCGTCGATACTTGTTTGACTACCTAACATTCTTGAAAAGCTCAGGCAAATCTGTTAGAGTCCCTTATTTAACTAACAAGAGATATATCAAATATATATTGTGTACAATATTGGGCATAAAAACACATAACCCTAATAACTGCATATTCAGGTGGCTAGCAGGTGCCGCTCATTCATCATTATCATACATGTACATTGTACGACAAAATTTCACGACAAGACTATGCCGCCTAGCATTTGCTCTTTATTACATTACATATTGAATTTATTACTATGTACAGATGGGAATGAATAAAACAAACACGGTTCGATATATTTAAGATTGTCGTTTTTCTGTTCGGCCAAAACTGTTCGTTTCTCTTAAAAGGAGATGCTACAGTCATTCTCTACGGATAACTTCGATTCTACTCTACGACCACCGTATCGGTATACCTGGCCAACCTATCTACGCTCAAACAGTTCTCATTACGCAACAACGTTTACTCAGAAACACGGTTTCCTATCCGATTCTGAATCATTGAAGTATCATGCACTCGTATGAGGAAGCGCAGGCACGAAAGAACTATATGGGATGAAATTAGCGATAGCATCAGCTACTTAAAGGCATAAGGTCTTCGATTTTTATCTAGCTGGGCCTATGCAAATTGCTACAGTGTTGTACTTGCAAATTCGTAAAAAAAAAAAAAAAAACTATTAATGTTATTGTCGCTGTGTTTTGTTTAAATAAAGCGAAAAATGTTTCGAGCTATAAGTCCAGCGCTACAGTTTTGGTTAGACGTCCCTGATTCAAGCTGCCGGCGGACTCTTCCGGGACGGCGAAATAAACCGTATGACTATTTTCGTCAATTCATTCATTCATTGCTGAATGTAAAGCTTAGCAAACGAAAGCGTTACCGGTGCAACGGCAAGAGGACATTTTGAACAGCATTTTGGTCCGGGTAAGCCTACAAGGATAAAATAAATAGTCGATGCTAGATGGAATTGCATCTGTGTTTTTTTATAGAGGCCTAGGCTAGAGCTGCCTCCTATGGAAAACCATTAAAAAAAAATTATCTTTGAACTAGTGAAGATCTTCTGAAGATCTGTCAAATCCGAAAATAGCTAAAAGTCGACTTAATAATTGGTACATGGCGATTTATCCCTTACCATATTCAAAGATTAAATAAAATACTTCATCTACGGTCTGGGCTAACGAGGATTGTAATGCTTAAATATAATCAACTGCAATACAATTAACGTTGACTTGTCAGGAAGGCGTTTACATTCGTTCGTTGAACTTCCCAGAATCATTTACTTACAGCATAACTTATGCCGCTATATGAGCTCTTCAGGCATCAACTCAAGTGTGTTCATCAAGATAACACTGATATCTTCCTTTACTATTTCATTTATAATTATATTTATAGATAACACAAGATAATTTTTCTAAAAAATTTGTTTCGACAATTTTGATTCCAACTCAGTAAAAGTCAGCTACATATAGCTACTTCGTTCAAAAACACACAACGCGCTGTATTTAAAAAATTGCGGGAAAAAAACTTAAAATTCCCTATGCATTCGCAAGTAAAATAGTAATATGTATACGAATGGAAGCAAATTTTTTTAATCTTATAGCGGCAATCATACAAGAAACCTGTAACAGAAATAGTCGCATGCAACACTACGAGCTATTTGGCGGGATATTATTTGCATCCCAGATACATATGGTACGGGTCTGAAACGTAACTAATTTGTCATGAATTGCGATTGTCACCAAAAACGTAAAGCTCATAAATTTGTCGGAATATCTCGTCTAGACATAAGAAATCAGTACTCAAATACGACGGACCCCTGCATCGATCAAGTACGTCCGTTTCATTTATACAGTAAAATTAAAATATTTTATATAAATCTATCCATGTCAGATTATTCAGATGAATGACCTGGGCTCTCCATTTATACAATAGCTATTTAATAGGATCGGGATGTGACTAGATATAGCCGCTTTATCCACAACATTTTATTGGAACTCTCTTTGTTTGAATGAAACTTGCTAACAACAAAAAGAAAAACCCCACTGTTCCTGGAAAAAAATAGCTGAATTAGACACAAGTTTTAGACTCTACCAAGCGAAACATCTTAAAAGCATGACCCAACTAAGTGAAAGGTATTTTGTAAATTTGTGTGTAACTTCAAATAAGCCGAATAAGATCTATTATGTTATGATTGGTGTCAACATCTATTTAACCGTTGTAGCGAGTCATACGGCCTTAACCTGTCACATAGAGGGAATCGCAACTTTTCACAGATATATTGCAGGACGTTTTACTTCTGCTAATCCGCTATCCTTCCTAGTTTCCTCGCAAAATCACTTATATAAAAATGTTTCTTGGGCAGGTCAACCTTTGGCTTAAAGAAGCCAACGAGGGGTCGCTGCTTCGAGTCCTGTCAACGCCATATACTACACGACAGTTAAGAATAAATACAGAACTGAAGAAACAAACATTTTTCGTTTTCTATCTAGGGATGCCTCGAAACTAGCTTTAGAAATGTTTTCTTTTGACTTATTTCTCCGTATTTGAATAGGGATCCGGTAAAATAAGGGCGAATATATCAACTATGACAAACAATTTGTTATGCGCTTAATCGGCCACGGCTTCCAGCTACTGCCTGACAGCAAGTGATTGATTAGACAAACGGAAATACGTGAATAAGCCGCTGTAAAGGACCATGCGTTCGCACATTCAGCCATAGCGACACTGAATAGCGTCACAGAATTTAAGGATTGTAGCAGCTACTTTTACAACGAAAAAAAAAAAAAACAGCATAAGCAAGCTCATTCAGGCCATGTTAACATTGCATCACAGATATGCACATTTGTTAGGATTTAACACAATCGAATTTCGATATTTACCAAGTTACTCAAGTTTTATTGGTCCTCAATGCGCTGTCAACAAAGTGAGTCCACTGATTGAGTTGAAGTAAGTTCGTAACTTTTTTTTTTGAGCAATGAAAGGGATGATTAAATAGATTAAGTTTTGTATCTCACAAGCTCAATGACACCAGTGTCACCTCTTACAGAATCACAACGATGGTTCTGAAACATAGGAGAAGGTGTTGGGCAGTGATTGCGACCTTTTCGAACTTCTTCCGCCTAAAAACTCCTGTTTGTAGTGCACACTGTGAAACCTGTCATCTTGCTTGCGAGCTCCAACTAGATCACATTCGCACTATTATTCCAGTATAGTTGTATTATACATCTAAGTGATACACAGCAGTAATGATGACATTACCCCAAGATGATCACAACGAAGATTTTTCTTCAAAAAAAACCCACTTTCTCTTCTACGCAAAAAGTCAATGGTATCTTTTCAGTTTCTGCTATATCTTCATCACTGCACACCCTCGATAACCTCGACCATATACACAATCATACACGAGATGAAATAGCATTAGCCGTTAACACTCAACAACAAATCAAAACAATCTATCCATGTTAGCCAATTGGAAGGAGAGGAGAAAAAATTGCTGGTAACTGTCCGCAACAAGGATGAGACTCTTCTACCACTTTCTATCACGTTTAATCGTTCTTTAATACTATATTTATACCATAGTGTATACATAGGCGGAGAACCCGTGCAGACGACAGAAGATGACTCAACGACCGCCATTTCGTATCGGTGCTTGTTGATTCAACGGATTGCTATATCGATTCCATTCCGTAGTTTCGTCTGATAGAAATGTAATCTTGTAGCAGACGCGTGGAGACGTTTCCAGGATGTCTGTGGCTGATTTCTATGATAAAACTGCGCCCAGCGCGATCCCGCAGCTGCTTGAAAAGATGAGGTAACAGCACTTGACCGTGCGCGCACCCAGCAAATACTAGATCTACCTGGTAATTAAACGCAGTCAGTGAGACGTCGGTGCGACAACGACGCTACATGAGCTTGACAGAAATCGTCTTGAGATGCAGAAGACAATATTACATGTACCTTTTGAAGTGTCAGAGACACGCAAAAATACTCATGAATGCATAGTAGACGAGCCACCGACGACAGGCAGGTACTGCCGCTAGTAGATATTACTTCAAACGCGCGCGGTATCACCCAAAGAAGAAGAAGACAAAGGTGAAGAGGAAATCAGAGAGCGTGCGTACCTGTGAGATCGGAATCTTTGTGTGTCTGCATAAGAGAGCAGATATTGATGCCAATGGAAGCAGTGGCAATTCCAGAATTGCGGAGATATAACCATCTATTTGGCCGACGAGATACAGGGTACTGGTGTGATTCAATAGCACGGTTGTGATGCCAACGAAAAAAGGCGAGATAGTAACATTGCCAGAGTGCAATTAGATAGCATTTGGTGGTGTCTGTAGTGGTGGCTTCTTGTATATCTGAGACACTTGAAGAGAATACGATTTGGACTAGAATGAGACAAAGCGTGGTCCTTGTATCATGACCAAAGGTACTTCAGTCGATGCACAATAAGGTAAATAGATTCTGACTAAGCTCGGTCTAACTTACCCTGGAAATCGCACAGTGGTAACGATGTTGTTGGACAATGATAGTTTCAACGTTATGTAGATTTAGATGTTTTGTTTACTCGAGACCAAGCAACGAAATCTGCTGCGATTTTGTTTTAATTTATTTTGATTGCGTAATTACTATGCAGAAACAGCAATCTCGCATCTTGTTAAGCTCATTAAGTTCTGATCTAAGCGATTCAATTGCGCGTATCTGGAACGCGCTTCAATTTTAATGTATGATTTTGTATTGTTCTCTTGGCGGCAGTGATTAGTTAGGTTGACTGCTCAGTCAATGCCTAATGTTTAAGCTATGAAAAACTTGATTGCAACATTAAATTTATCTTCCTATCGGAGCGGAACGAACCAGATCCCTCCAACCAGATGCCGAAGAATATCTACGCTGATGCTAATAGTCTGCTCCAAATCACTACGGACAACTCGTCTTCTTCGTAATCATGGAAATGTAAACGACCCTACTGAAGTGTTTGACAGCGAAGAGTTGGCAATCGATGTATCGAGATCTTCTCAAGTTCCGAAACAAATTAATCGACATGTTCCTCCTCAGAGAAAACAACAGTTATTTAGACAACGTCCCGTAATCAAATGCATATACGTATCAAGTTCGTAGCTCTCAGTTGCAAAGTAAATTTCACTGTCCGTTAGATAATTAGTTTTATGAAACAATAAAACAATGGCGTATCTCTGATGGACGTGCCCATAGCAGATTTGAAATTTCGCGGGTCATTGAAACAAACACCAAATTCTTGGTGATACACCTGGTACCACCCAGAATATGAGAAGGAGTCAATGAAGTTAACTGTAGTCAATTTACTAGGCTAACATTGTCAACAACATGCTTAATTATGTCTGAAAAAAGCTGCTTGCTAGATACGCCTATACGGACAGTTGATAAACACTTAAAAGGTTAAAAGGTCATAAAAGTATAGTTGCATAAAGGCTAGAGACTAAACATTTTGGTACAACCGGTTAGCAAGATGATTCATAATGGACTGAACTGATGATCGTACATTTAGCGCGTGACCGATATTTGAAAAGGTCAAAGTTCACGTTATGTAATGCGGTTACAAGCAAATCTTACTTCAAATGTGCAATATATATATATATATTTATATATATATATTTATGTATATATATATTTATATATATTTATATATATATATATATATTTTTTTTTTTTTTTTTTTTGAGTGAAAGTCTGAACAAAGGCAGAAAACAAGTTTTATTTATCTGATACTAAAAATGTGTTAAATGCCCACAGGGAATCTCGTGCATAACAATCTCATCATAGATTTATAGAACAGTAAACATGAGTTCTGACTTGAATTGAAATATGGCCGCTGCGTTCGAAGGGTAACGATAAAGATGTAATTAAAGTCGTGTGACGGAAATAAATAGGCTCACACATTGTCATGGAGAACTTCGTTACTATCTGAATAGGCGAAATGCAATAAACGGATTAGAGGAAGGGCCATAACAAACAACTACAACTTGGTCGAAGGGCAGCAGGACGAGTTGGCCTGCGAAGACCGGAACCTTCTTATGGACTATAGGGCTACTGAGTAGTCGTCTTTTTCCAATTAACAGGAGTAGATTGTAATTTCAACTACTTTTAATATGCCTATGTGACGAGCAGAAGAACTTTGAATATGCTTGATCCTATCGAACCTGGTTATCGTGAACTGGGGCTATTTATCGAAAATCTACAAGTCCTTTGTTGAATATTTTCCGAAGCTAACATCCAGAAAACCTTGAGAGACTTCGAGAAGACGTTAAAGCAGGTTTCTCTTCGAGCTACCAGTAAGCATTCGATACGGCAAAGATACAATCGTATTTTCCATAATCTGTACTTACATCGGGTTGTTCCGTTGGTTACTTCTCCTTTATGCACCATCGAAATGTTCTTCCAGAGTAAACAGTCTCATATGAAACGCACGCGTCTCTAAATCGGCCTAATAATTCGCAGAAATTACAGAACAACCGAATCCTGCTTTTGTTTCAAGGACTACATCATCATTTATGGACACGTTGTACCTCACGTCAACGAATAGGCCGTAGCCTTCCTGTTACGTTATGCTGCTTTTCGATTACTCACAAATGAGTACAGCTTCAGTAAATTAGAATTAAATGCAAAATTTCTCTAGCCCAAGCAGACGATATTGCCTTGGCAAATCCTGTGATGATTACGGTGTGCATAAAAATACATTTACTGAGGAACCAAACCTGGTTAGGTGCCTCTGAAAGCAGCACTTACAGGTCTTCAAGGAGAGGTTTCGGCGTTCAGCCCAGTCTGATGTAATGTGTTGGTTTCCGCCGAAATCAGGCTAATTAAACCATATTGGAGCTGGCAAGCTCATCATGGTGACAAATAACTTAATTAAAGCCAGTCCTCACAGGCGACCGTATGGCTACTGGCTGGAGCGAAATGTTATCATCTATAGGTAGTTGACGACGCCATTAATTTACACCGGTTGAAATTGGTCCTTTTATCCTATTACTGGCACTGCAGTAGCTATTGCAGAAACTAAGTTACACTGATTCCGGTCGTTTGAGTGCCACCCGTACACGGAGCTGCAATAATGCTTGACCGAATAGCCACAGCCTCGAATTTATGAAAAGTAACAGCAAAACACTGTTAGTAAATTACATTAAGAGCGCGCACTTCTTGCCGGTATCTAAAGTTCAAGTGATATCACTATTGTGTACCAGCAATATCGTTGAAGCAGTTCTCCTTACCATTTGTTAGCATTAGAGTTTTTTGCTTCCGACTGCGTTTGCTTCTAGGAGCGTCCTTCATAAAAAAAAGTAATTTTTGCAACTCAATTATTCGTTGACAACGTACATGCTTTTTTCAGTTAACTTAGTTCTAAGTTTTACACAGTCTTTCTATTCGACTTCATCCCATTAAAAAGGTTGGCTCCTGATTTCCGCGACACAAACAATCGGTAGACTCTTTAATTATACTAGCTGTGTTTATTCCCTGACTCGTATCACTTAGTGCACACAGAAAAACGTAAAAAGTTAGTCCGTAGATGCTAAACACCATTCCTTCAATAGCATTGTTCTACTATGGCATATATCCACAAATATGATCCCATAGCCGCAATGTTTTTTTTACTGATTGTTGTTTCACAATAAACCACTAACCGTTCGCAAAACAGTCGGGTTCTATTCTCTCTAAAAGTGACAGTCGGGTACGTCTATACCTGAAAATAACAGCTATAATGGTATTCGACTAACACTCGTCCGTCTGTGATAGCATTTCAAACAGCACAACAGCGACATCTCTACCGAGCTTTTAATAACGAATAAAAATCTAGAAGCGAATACGAATTGACGTCCTTCTCTGCGTGAGTAGCTGGTTGGTAATGCCTGTACCTTTTTCCATCCCTTTGTTCCCCTCAACGTACCGTTGCCATAATACTAACAAACGAAATGACCCGTTCTGATACGCCACACCACCACACGCACGGCTCTGCGCAGTCCGTGACCACCTTGTGCTACTGGTAACGCCCACAGGAAAATATCATATAAATCCGATACAAATTTCTAACCTGAGTTTAGGGACCCTTAGAAAGCTTTCTGGCCTTCGAAAAAGCCGTTCCACTAAAAAGACCAGCCAACCAATAACAGCAGGAACCGTCAACCACTGTCAGCGTTCACGAACCTGCGATGCTTGAAGGTTTTCCGCTCTCCATAAGTCGCTCAGTCCTGTAAACGCCGCGCCTACAGATTCCATCGTCGATGACGGCAACGGTCAGTTCTCCTCAGCAATAGCAGCTGCGCCGCTTCGCTACAATTAACCATGTTACCAACAGCGGTAGAGTTGATCGTCAGCTGGCCAATGGAGCATAGTCATAGAGCGTTCTAGCGGAGACTCCAGCGATGTCGGCTACAAACAAACAATGCCTGTGCCAGTGGCAGTAATTGCTGAGAGGAAATAATAGCAGTAAGTAGGACCTATAGTCTAATTGTTATTCTGATTCCGGACCGGTAGCAGATAGCCTCTGTAGCTACCCAGTTCCTAGATAGAATAGAAAAATAGGAATAGAAAAAAAAAAGTAACTTCCTTCCCTGTCCGATACAAAGAAGGAGACTATATAAGTGGGAATATGTGAGATTCTGTTTTTGTAAGTATGTGTGCCCTTGTCTATTATGTCAATGTGTTACGTTTGCGCGAACATCTGTGACGAAACTGTTCCACGCGAACCGTCACGCGCCTTCCACCTCGCGTCACGAAGGCGTAGAAGGCGCGTTCGAATTAACCCATTAGATGAGCAGGCTGCGTGAGCCTGATAAGTCCGCGGGTGAATTATAAATAAAAGGCGTTAGATGAATTGTGGACCGGGAAGATTCGGTGTCGGCTACCGTAATTATGTTTGTACGGGATGAATAGTTGCCGTCAATCAGAAAACGCGTACGAGAAAGATTAAATGGGATAGCATGACATTTTGTTGACGGGATAATATAATCATAACTATATGAGCAGCTTCCGGTAGTACGGGGGGGTTGGAGACTAGAATGCAAAAATATTTAATGCTTGGTACTGCAACCGTACAGGGTACGTGGATTTTGTGGCTAAAAAAGTGTCTCGCATCCCCCGAAGGATCAGAGCATTACGACCGCAGAGTAATCGAATCTCGAATCGAGTACTGTTGGGGGGATAGTTTCCGGACTATGAGAGGATCTATTGCAGTTAGTCAACTAAGACATAATCATGTACATAGGTGTTTACGGTAGTCAAACAGAAAAAATTGTTTTTGGCTGAAAACTTATCGTGGAATGGTTTAGGTAAAGTGGTGCGAGGGGACTGTATTAAAAAAGATTATGATCTTGTTTATGGTCGAGTGATTAATAGGCCAGTGATGTTTTTGGGGTCGACTTTTATTGGAGACTTTATTGGGTTGTGCAATTTGAATGCTCACTTCAAAGTAATTAAGCGTATCTGTAACAGAATAATAAGAACGCCACATTCTAGTAAATTGTTCCACCATATGCGTTATATAGAATTTAAAGCTGTTTGTAATGTTAGAACTTTCTTGGACTCGACTGTAAACAAATACATTCTTAGTTATATCAGTATTTCGTAATATATACATATTTCGAAATAAAATTATTTCATATTCCTATTTTTCAGAGGTGATATATGGCCAAATTAGCAATAACCCATTTAGTTATTTTAGGGTAACAAGCACAGCTTGACATCCACTTCATATCACCCCAGGGAATCATAGGATACTCGGCTCAGGTTATTCCATATTTCAACGTTTAATTGTCATAAGATCCTGTTGACTAACCCATAATAGGAATTACACAGTATATATGTTTAGCTGAGTGACGTCCTTAAAGTCACTTACCGTTAAATGCGGTATTAGCGTAACGTGACGGTACCTTTCTACGAACTCGCGCAGTTTCTGGCTCATTTCTACGACAGGCTTGTCGTTCGAGATATTTAAACATTAAATATACAATAATTATTATCTTGCATTTGATCTGGTCTCTATCGAATTCTGCGTAATATTAACCATTTTTCCGAATGTCTAAACTTATCGACTCAAAAATAGTGCACAGTCCGACGATAGTACTCGCAGCATGAATAATCTACTGTTTCGTAGCCTTCCTCCTATGACAAGTTCCCTTGCCTGCAGGATTCGTTGCTAGGGTAGCCAGGCTGTCAGGGTTGCAGTAGGAGATTGGGTTACGACTACAAGCAGCGCTTCTTCTATGCCTTGAATGCCTGTTTTAGGATCGAAACGTTTTCACTCGCACAGGTTCGTACCTTGAGCAACTCTGTATAATTCCAATTGACAAACAAACACGCTACCACAATGCCATTACTTAGACAAAGTAATACCCAGACTTCAGGTAAACAAATACTGATTTCAAAGCTCCCACAGTAAGCGCAAATGATATGAACTGTACCCTTGCCTTTCCTGAAACAGGAAAAGCTACTTTTGCCCTATTAAACGAACGTCATATGTCAATGCCTAATAGAAAGAATCGAATCAAGCGATCTGAAACCGTACTGAACATGTATCAAAAACGTAATGGATTTTCATTAGTCTATGGTTTTCTTTTATTGAATAGCACCAGTCAGACTTGGGCCTACTTTCGTTTGCATACCGAAGTCGAATTTACCCTGAGGAAATTTTAAGGTTCCACATCGATGAAAGTGAGTGATGCAAAACTAAAAGAACTTGCTCTACTGTACATGTTTATGCTTTTATTATTAAGGTGGTTACGGATACTGGATCAGTTATATATAGTAACGTCACTATATTGTTTCACATTTGTATTCATAGCATTTCTTTGTTCCTATTTTTCTTTTTTCCTGCATCTATATTTTTATTTCTTGTCAACGACTGCTTTACGACAGGTCCCGACGGGCTGCCAGAATCAGAAATTTTCCTGAGTCATCGACACTACATCGTTCAGTAGATCCAATGATGGCGCTTGTTCCTTCGATTTAAACGAATTCACTTCGAAGCAGCACAACCCAATGAGAAATTCAATATAACCACTGACGATCTGCTAAGCCATCTGAGAGGCGCATAGACTGGCCTGACTGCTCTGATGAACGTTGTTGTTGTGACTATCCTGAACACCGTTCAGACCAAGAGTTGATGAGTGTCTGACGTGATGGCGAAGTATTTATTTGCTGAGGTTTACATGTTGGACATGGTGGAAGGGACGTTGTTAAGATTCGTATAGTAAGCGGTACGCAGAGCGATGACAACGTACATTTCTTTATTTAGCATAACGAGTTTACGTTGTCTCAGCTGCCCTGCCAAAGGGACCGTGGCGAATGTTCAGCCTGATGTACAGTTGAGGGCTAATGATACGTGTGAATATGTAACGTTAACTGTTTCTTTACATTAAACAAAACTATAATACAAATCTGAAGAAATATAACAGTATACAATGATGTATGTATTGAATAAAGTGATAATAAGTGTCAATCGCCCCTGTTGCCTATTGGTTTTTGATGCTGGGCACAAGCTCCGCCCCGGGCAATGTGGTATCCGATAAACTGAGACACATTTGTCTGCGACATACCAGACGGAAAAACAGTCCATCGAATAGTAACACGGTTTGACCTCTATGTACCAGGTCTTGCCGAGACTATTACTTAATCTGCGAGTTGAAAACGTATTTAAGTTGTCTAATAGCAACGAAGAATAGAACTTTAGTAGTCTTCTGAATAGTTTCCCCTGACAACAACATATCTGCTTACGCTCGGTTGGTGTGTAATCGCCAAATCTGGGACCCTAAAGAAAGGAAGACGTTATCATTATTCAAATGATAACGTCTTCATAACTTAAGATTTTAGTGAACTGCTCGTTTCACGGATTAGAAAGTCAAAGCAAAAATCCAGCTGCAGGTAGCATGTAGCATACCGATTGTAAATGGCATTTTCTTTTTATTCTGTGTTGAGCGCTACTGCAATTAAATGCGCCGAAATATTTAAATATAGAATATATAGCAAAAAATCACAATTTAATTGCTTCAGATAATCGGTAGCATGAAGCTGCGGAAGTACTCTCACACGCTTTACGAGCTAATACGAGTCGGATTTCGTAATCCTTTCAAAAACGAAACTTTATCAAGGGTAATAATTATAAAATGTTAAATAATTACCAATATATGACCTTGTCCAATCGACGACGACGAATGGTTTCCTAAGCTCCCATTTTACTAGTTATCCGGAACAAACGCCATGCAACGATTCCGTCGAGCCGTTTTAGTTAAAACTCAAAGGCGATAATAACATCTAGTACTTCCTTCTCATATATTACGTTTCTGTTTATGAACGAGAATATTACTTCTCGGAACTGGCCACCTACCACCATATACCGCGGAAGGTGGCTGTTTTCTATATCAGCTCTGACCAGTTGAAACGGAACCTGAAACAGATTCATAATGACACCGAATCACAACATAAAAGTGTTACGTCACTTCAATGCAATCGCCAGTTAATTTACCTAAGATAACGATAATGCGTCGGACGCAGCCTCTCGCTTCCTCTGCTTGAACGACCTGCCTCACCGGCAAGTAAAACTGTGAAGAACTCCATAAGGAAAATAGGCATGTGTGTTCTTACATCCACTGAAGGTATCCACTTCAAAGTCAAAAGACGCAAACTACTAGCAAGCATTAATCAAGCGTACGTTTCTTTGAAATTGCCAGGACTATTTTCCCTCATTTTTACCCGCAATTTACCTTCCTTCAACATTAATGTGTATTGTAGACAAACCGCATGCAGACATAACATATTCCGACCCGTGGCCATTGCAGCTGTCGACAAGTACTCGTTGGACTTCAGCACTAGATTAATAATGACAGCGCAAAAAAGCGCTTTTTTCTGTTGAGGACATTCCGATACAGATTCCGATCAAACGACTCAGACATAAATTGATAACTACTTGTGAGTCCAAGAATAGACGACCGCAATACTTTAGGAGCATTCAGGCAATGCAATGGGTCGTGGCACTTGATCCGACCTATTCACCTGTTAGGCAGAAGCGCTTAACATTGTAAGTCGTTGTCGGCCTAGCACAACGAGTGTTTGTTCTTCATAGGACTGAAAATCGCATGGAAGACCTTTGAGTTGAACAGGGAAGTTTCACGAATGAACATCGTTAGTCGAGTCACATTTGTAAACGATTTTCTCCGCGTTAACAAATGGATAATGGCGAGATAACAGTTAGTTTAAGAGGCAATCTCCTCTGAATTCAAAGTTCCATGGAAACGAAAATGCTAACGCAGAATTAGGCCCAGAAAACTATGTAAATTTAGTGAACGCTGATGCATCCAGAGGACACTGGCTGAAATCGCACGCGAGCGTAGCAAATATCCGGAGTGGAGGCGTAGTGCATATATATGTACGAAATGTATTCTAGAGACTTTCCTTAAAATGGTAAAACGGTAACGCCATATGGTAATTTGGCATAGGCAGAATTTCACTAGTATATCCTCATGCCTCTAAAACATACAAATACAGACAGAATATACGAAAGCATTTTCTTGACACTTGTTATATGTTAACATTGCTAATTCCGATACATGATCTTACCTAATACAAGTATGTATAGCAGTGATGGTGTCCATTTGTCTTTCGTACTATGGGGTTCGTTCATAGTTATCCTATTTGATCCGCGTGTGTCCATTGGGGGAAGTGGCATATACCTGCCCATCGCTGAACCTTCCCCTTTCTACCAAGGCGGTAGCCCGGTCCAGGTCGGCGGTCAGAACCTAAAGGGAAAGTGCCTAATTAAACATAGATAAATGGTAATCCAGACATAACATGTAATTAAATAATGAGGAAAAATCATTTAGAATAAAAGTGTAAAGGTATAATATAGTGTCGAAAATTGCTTCATTTCACGCATACATTTACAGTAAAATAAAATACAATCAGTAACTACCCTAACATGTACTCAAGTCAATCGTATACCTCTATTTAAATATGAAACATATAAAAAGAAACTGTTAGAGCTTAATCAAGCAGAGCAGCAGTTCCATACACAAGTATACGTTTTTTCTTCGTCAATATCATCCAGTTGTATGAACACCGCGCCTCGATATTGATATCGTATTCACGCTAATGTCACTGAGATAGGAGTCGAAGCTGAGGACGTTTGTAGTTATAGCGTTTGTATCCTGTATCCATACATGATACTGTGCACGGCCATTTTCTGTCGTAACCGCTTATTTTTGTCAATGCCCAATGAAATTTTCTGATATCTTCTGCTATTGATCTTTTGCGGGTCTTACACTCCTTCCTGAAATCCGAGCCCGCGTCAGTCTTGCATACAAAGAGTCATCATTCGAACAACTCATGTTGATTTAGGAAAACAACCTGAAAATTCAAAGAAAAAAGAACCCCACTTATTACATAAGGATTCGAAGGATGACTAAGCGGTCTATCTGCAGCCTGCCAGCACTTGATGGTCAAAAAGAGTTGCTTTTCTGTGTTGACTGAATGAAATGATATGGTTGGTAGTGTTCCGTATCGCGGAGGTTTGCGATGCCGCTGGTCATCATGGAACCATCGTAAGTGGGGGCAATGCAGAAGGGAGTCATTCTTCTTTGTGGCCGGTTTTGCTGGTTGCAGTGGTGACGATCGGTGCCTATTTCGTAAAAGTTTCGTTGAATAGCCTTTTTTGCTGGTAATTTAGATACACCGACTTCGTTAGTGTTTAAATTTTTTAGTTATTTGCTTAGCAGAAATGTACTTACGGTAAAATATAAGTCAGAAGGTAATTGATGATTAGAAAGTAAATAAAGCAAACTAATACACTAATGATAATTGAAGGTATTCGTCATCGTATTAGATAATTTTTCAAGTAGATATATGCCCAAGCAGATAAAGGTGGTGACTTTGGTGACGAAAAATTTTCTAATTGAAGAGAAATAAAATCTTTGGTTCGTTAGTCCCAAAAATATGGGGTAGATTTATGCCGGAGTGGATCCTTTAGTTTAAAAGATATCTCTCTGTATTGGCATATTCTCCTTTATATAGTGCAGCCGAAGGTCAGAGAGGTTGGCAGGATTAATGTTGCTTCAAGCTCTAACTTAGTCCACATACATATTATTTGAAATAAATATAATTATATAAATAAAAATAGTTTCTCAATGTTACTGTCTTTGCGGCGACTTGAAAATGTATGCCCGAAGATAATTTTTGAGGTTACAAACTATTTTGCCCTATTTCAGATGTCTCGATGATTCTCGTTATTCGTGTTCAGCATTGGCAGTTGGTTTCAACAAGCAACATGTCCGTTTAGGAACTCACAAAGTGCTAGTAAAAGTACGAAGGTCGGCACAAGAACAGGACGTTCATTCCGTAAAAGGCTTGGGCTATCCAGTAGCACATAGTCGGGTAACGGAACATCTTCACGATGAATTTCATAACAGTATTGCTTTGTCATAGTGGTAGATAATATGCAAACTCACAAAACAACCGGGGCACGTTCAGATTGTACCACAGCTGTGATTAAATAAAGAAGTACTGAACTGAGAGCTATCGTAGCATGAAAGACTAATAGTAGCTTAATCCTTCTAGAATTTAATTGAGTTATTCGGCTACCGGCGTTAATAAATTGAAGTCGTTCTTATAAATAGACACATTTTAAGGTCAGATATCGTACAGCCATGCGACAAAAACCATTAGCACTCGTTCCTACAAGCCCCAACTTGGCAACGAGATAAGCTTCAGATCTAACCGCGTCAATGGTTGCCTGCAAGAGATACAACGAAGCTACGGTTGGCCCAGTCATTCCTGTGCAATCCGCAAGACAAACTATGCTGCCAATGGGCCGCTTACATTTATCTATCTATATTCAGCTAAAAAAACGTAATACGCAAACATAAAAGCGACGTACAGGCTGAACAGCTATGTAGACAGCATGTGTTTCAGCTACCGGAAAAAGTCCACTAGTAATTGGTAAAACACGAGCTGGCAAATAAGTACACATGTTGCTGATACCAATGACCAATCGGGCTAAAACAATAAAATTGGATGGTGATTTAAAGTAATTACAAATAGCGGCGACCGCAGGCGGGGCTGAACCTTCCTACTAACGAATTCTGCTTATTAATCTATTGTGACACACGCAGACATAGCCTAACACGTGGGATATTATAACGGAAAAGTGCATTTTCAGGTCTTGCTACCGTTAATTACGTTTTTTTTTCCGCCCACGAAAAAAACCCAGCGTGTGATGAGACAGTTCATGTGGCATTATATAAATATTAAGCGTACCTTGCTTTTTTCCGGCAATTCGCTTGCGCAGCGCAGGTCCGCCTTGGGTCTCTGGCAAAATCACTATCAGTAACGTACCTGACGTATTTCGCGGGTTGGACACGAGAAAAATTGTTACAGTTTGGTCCGATGCTGTTACCGGTATTACGCCTCGGAGACTTGATGAACCGTACAACCATTGACGCGCCCTTGTTATTTTTGTCGCGCGGTCTATATGGTGAAACAAATACGTTGAGAATCTCTATTTTACGTCTGCAAAATTAGCAAACTACTAAAATATCGTAAAATTTAGAGCAAACGATGTTTTATTTGTGGCCATCTACAAGATTGTTGTCTTATTTAACTATTTACGCCGTTTAATATCTACTGTTCTAGTCATGTTTATAGAAGCTTAGTACTGTAGCATATTGTTATGCATTATCGTCACTTAGGCCAATGCTTGCCTATTGCACGTCGGGGTGTGACGCCGTTGATGCCGATAGTATATCGTAAACATTCTGCGTTTCTAATCGTGATTACCAAGATACGGCCAGATTTGTCGCCAGCTGCAGCTCGGATCAAGCGCAACGCCGGTCAGAATTTTCAATGGAATAACATACGTGGGCCAGACGCGGTCGGTGCGTGAAAAGCTGAGTCGATATTTTAAGACGACTGATAAAGCAGTGTTACATTTAGTTAATGAACATTGTCTGAACGGGTGGATTTTTTTACTCTTTTTATTTCGTTTTATCGAATAAAGCGTGAATACTATTATCGACTATTGCCGTAAATTTAAGTAAAAAAAACCTTCCGATATATCAGTTTATCAGATCAACTACTTTTTATTGCAATTTATTACGTTTTTATCAATGTCAAGTTAGATCAGGTACATTGATAAATAGTCCGTTTAAAAATATCTATTGATTTTTCAATTAACATTGCCAAATAGCATATAACGATCTTAAAGTTAACAACGGATCCGAAGAAAGGCATTTAACGTTAAAGCTAGTGGCTTTTTCTATATCGGTGCTACATAATACAGCATAAATATATATTTACATCACAAATGTTCACCGTCGTAAATATAAATGTTTACATGAACTGACGCACATCTATATTATCTTTACCTCACAGCTCATCTCTAAAAACAAATAAAGTGAGCTTGGACAGTATACGTAATAAATTTCAAGCACATACTTAATGTTACGTATAGAACACTATCTCATCGTACAGGCAAACGGATCAATGTAAGCTCAACTCGACATTCCGAGCTTGCCTAAAATCCATTATGCAGGTAACCCAACATGACCTACAATGCTTAGAAATAGCCTTTTCTTTCAGATTCTACGACATCGTATCTTTAAATGCGTACATTCAGCAAATCTACGGCGAGTTGAATTAAATCTATGTTTACTACGCCCAGGAAGGCAGATTGTTGGTAAATTTACAAACGTTTAGGTTGAGTTCAATAAATACCTATTTTTTTACATACTTTCGTCGACCGCACTTTGCATTCGGATGCCTCTGTTTCTTAGACACCTATCAAGTGTTAACTTTAATGTTCCCAAAAAACGAGAAAAGTACGTTCAGGGTCGATCAAAATTGGTAAAACCCCAATTAAAACCCCATTGATCTGCTGCAGAAAGTGGCATCATAAAAGACCACCATTGTTGTTGACCACGTGTAAACGACATATTTTTAAACAATTTAGCAGATGCATAGCCAATCCTATCAGTTTCCGCCCACATTCGACTTATCGCTTAATAAATTCTATGAACGCGGTGAATCCGTCAGGATTTGGCACTCGCCATCGAGGGAATTGCTTGCTATTATTAATATTAATTATAATGGATAATCTATTAGATGTATCTGAAAAAAAGTGAAAGTAACTAATATAGATCGATATCCTAGTTGCATCAGTATCCTTCAGAAACCTGCTATCCTGCCACCCAGGGCCATTCGGCTGCACGTGATCTGAGGCAGGCCAATGAAACTCTTTCCTTCCATCAGTGATAATTCATTAAAAAAAAAACAGTTTTAGATGAGAAAACAATCAAACTTGATCATGAACAATTTGTTTCTAAAGGAATCTTCATTTTCGCTTAATAACTTAACCCAATAACTTCCGCACGCATATAACTTGAACACTGTACATGCAACAGGGGGGACGAAGAATTAGTCTGGATTTACTATTAAATTTGTTAGAGCCATCGTCAGCAACGTTGTATACGAACATGCCAAATAGGTTAGAGACGGTACAAGGTATAGTTAACGTATTTCCCGCTAATCTAGACGACAGAGGTGGGAATACACGTACATCCATACATATAGGCCGTTTAATAGCGTGCCGAAAAACGTCAGCAGTAAACCGATCTGGATTAGCCGTCTAATCTTGTGTCGGAAATCTGTTACCGAACTTCTGTTAACGCAATGCGCTGTCCAGTTTCAGTCTGCGGGTGTAGCCTGAAAGTACTTTCGCGGGCCTCCCGATACAACAAATCAGTTTCAGTTCTGACCATTGGAACGAATGTTTTTTGCCGCGTGCATTTGTATCCTATTAAGAGTTGTTGGTATCTCAATGATAAAGTTGTGCAACAAAGTCTGTTTGATCTTTTTGGCTCGTTCTAACAGATTTCCTTGAACAAAAGCGGGCACAATCGTCTAACTGATCAATGAAAAAGATACTATGAGAATTGGATGAAAACTACCCCGTTCCTGATCTGTTGACAATAATCCATGATCAAAACAGTAATTGTAGGTAAAAATCACTGATAGTATTTTCAGTTTTTTTTTTCTTGCTAATATTTTACTCATTTTATACATTAGTCACCAGTATCGCTCAGTCATAGTTGCCATCCTACCAATCATACCATGTCGAGCTAGAGTGCTGTGTAAATACAGTCAACACGTATGTACTACTGTTTGACTTGACGGTAACATATTCCTTTTATTCTCGTTATTTACTAATGTCGATACGACGTCTGCGCCCACGAACGAAACTTTCCCAATCGACGTTGGACGTCGATCGGTTGCTGGACCTCTGCTTTGCTGCATTGATTTGTTCTCTGGTCGCTATGATATTACTGCGGTAGTAGTTCGCGGGCGGCGGAAATGGTAATTTTAGCACTTTTTCAAATTTGGTACTTTACTTCACTTATTCTTTTCCTCCGTCGCTCGTTGCCGTTCTTTTTATCTTTATCTAATAGTCTTTTTTAGTAGTTTGGCGCCATTAAGCACCAAAGACTCGGGCTGTACCAGAGCCTATCATCGCGCAGCAGGGTCACTGAAGGCCAGTCTATAACCTAAGTGACCCACCAGAATGCAGAATAACCATCTATTACGATCCATTGCTAGTCCATTGACAATAGAAAGGGACAGAGAATGTTTTTTATTTAATTGTCTTCACTCTCCCATCCTGCCTGTTCACCTAAATCTCTACGTACGACTACGGACTTCGGACGCACTTCAGCGGGGTTCGCTGGGGAGCCACTGTTCCTTGGCGAGGCGGCTATCGCGGGAAAAGCTCATTTATAAATTCGTATTGGGCTTTAGCCTCACTGAGGCACCGTTAATATACATAGCTTTCTTTTTTACCTACGCAAAATACGGTGTAGGAGGAGAATGAAATAAGGACAGCAAACGTTTTCCAACAAAAATTAACTAATGCTAATTATTATCGTGTGGTCGACTGCAATATGGCCAGCAGCTTCTATAATTTAAATGAATTTTTCCTCGCCGGTGTGGTCGTCACCGTTTTTGCTGGTATTGGCACTACTGCTGGTGCAACCACGGTTCCAATCCTGACGATGGTTATTAGTGATGGCGTTGCTGGAGACGAAGAAATTTACCAAGCAGCAAATATAACGACAAGTGTAACGAGAAGCTACAACAACAATAACAGGAATTGACAGCGAAAGCCAAACGACAACTGTGACAGGGGGGCACCGGGAGGGCCAAAACAGAAACGCAGGTTTCAGGTGCAACTTCAACGACGCAAGAAGGCGTCCGTGACGCTGCGAAAGGCATGCGTTCGTTTTCGACCGGCCGCTGCTACTGCTGCTGCAGACCGAAATGCAAGCAGCGCCAATAGTAGTAGAAGCGCCCCAGACTCGCGCGACGTGACACGTCGGCAGAACCGTTTGACGTCGCATTGACCTTCGAGGTTGATGACAACGAAATCGTAATAGTTACAGTGGCAGCGGAGGTGTGACGCGCGAGAAATAGAAAATAAATGCAAAAAATATTAACAAGCCAACAAATAACAAACAGGGCACATTTAGGCTGCATCCTGTCCCTGGTTTAATTACCTTAGTAAATGCTGTATATGTTGGTCGTAAAGGATGATAATCGCCTTTAAATTTGTATATGTATTTTGTAAAATGGTGTTGGTCGACAGCAAAATGATAGATGGGCTATGATTTTGGTAGCTGTTTCAACCCGAAGACAAAATAATCATATCCGCAGCCTTTTGAACTTTCATTTTACTGGTAATGTGTACTATCATTAGGCACCTTAATATCCAAAAACTTTTCGTTACAGGTATGTGCTTTTATAAACAGTAGGCAAGACGTATTACTTTACGAGGACCAAACGACAAGTACGGGTACTGGAACTCATACTTTTGAAAAATTTTCTCACGCCTATATTGACAATGATTGCAATCAGTATTTTATAAATTCTGATTTGTCATAGCTAAAATCATGTAGCCAATGAGCAGATCAAGAGAAATGCTTGCTCTGATTTGCACAGGGAGAAAATAATATGCTATAAGTGGTTGTATCTCTATAATTTTGATTCTTCCTTTGTTAGCTGCATGTAGTCGGAATGAGTTTACGGCGACGATCTACCCAACAGAGAGGGGCACTGAATATGTCGATCGGCCGTATGAGTGCATTGGCTCTGCTGTTTATAGAAGTACGGCTAAGTATGTTATACTCGGCTTTTAAGTTAATTTTTAATAACTTATCGGTCAATGACAAGTTCAGTATTACGGTTAAATTGATTTTTCAATCGCGGATAAATACATTGTTGTGATAAGAAATGTTTCTTATTATAAATATTTCTTGGAAAGGCGATTATTTACAAGCCAAGGTGCTGCAAAAGTAAAGAATCATCAACGTGTACGACGCAAATGTTCTTGACGATCCTCAGAAGCATTTTCTTATAAAACATACTACCATGTCAAAAAAATATCTATAAAACGACCGGCCTCTGTGTATTGAAAACCTTTT